GTGAAGGAGGGGGACCTCCATCTCAGTCCCCAGGGGCACGACTTAGCTGGGAGGTTTTAGAGAAGGAAATGAATGAAGGGGTCTTCTTTTCTTGGGGTGGGGGGAACCCGTCCTTGCCATATACAGTCATCTGACTCTAATACCCATTCCATCCCATCACCGGACGCTGCCTCTCTCTGCTCCTTGACGCTTCTCATGTTGCACAGCTGCTCAAAAGCCTTCGATGGCCCCACTGCCTACAGACTAAAGCAGCGCCTCCTAATCCTGGCATTCAAGGCCCTCTGAATGGGCTCCAACCCCGCCTTTCCGGCCTTTATTCTAATCTACTCCACCACATGCCTATTGAGCTCAGGGCCAGCTGGTGGCATGGCCCCTTCTCTGGTTCTTCCCTGCATGGTGTGTCCTCAAGCCAAAATTCTCTCAGAGCACTCGCTGCTGAACCCCTCCCCAGCTTTCGAGTCCTGGAGGGAGGCAAGTGCCATACACCGAAGCTGCAGGCCACATCCTCACCTTCCCAGCCTCCCGGGCAGCTGGGGCTTTGCAGTCAGAGGCATCTGCCTCCCCAGCCCAGCCCCGGCAGCTAGGGGCCAAGGAAGCAGGGGCTGTGGGGACTCTGTGGTGGCGAGAGGGGTGGCAGTGGCCACAGAAGCTCCATTTGGTTTCCAGAGGCAGCGCCGGGTCCCGGTCATGGTGTCGACCAGGCAGGCCAGAGTCACTGCTCTGTGGCCTCAGCAGGAGCTCCGAGGGGCCTTGTTCAAGGCCATATACCCACCAAGGCTGGTTCTCCAGGCCTCCCAGAGATGCACTGAGATATTCAAGATCCTTGAATGCATCGCTTTTCTGTTTAAATGTCTGGAGTTGGGTTATGTTGTTTGCAAACGAATCTCAAATCAGTGTGTTAGCACTGCACCAGGGGTATAGCTTGGAGAAGGCTCCGCCCTCAAAGACACGCAGTGTAGTGGTGATGGGGGGCAAGACGTAAACACAGTCATCTTGTGTTTATGGCTTCAACTCATTTTTTTTGCAAGTCAGCTCTGTGCTAGGCACTTGCAGCACCAACGGTGCAGGGGTTGAAGCCAAAAACAAGGCAGAGAAAGGACAATAAATGCCCTCTGTCCTCCCACCCAGCTGCACTAAGGGAAACCTTGCCTGTTCCTCGAAGTAAGCTCAGTTACGGACAGAGCCCTCTTTGACCGCTACCCCTGCCCCACCTCATTTAAACCCTGTTGCTCTTTCTGTGTCTGTAAGCAAGTTATGGCAGAGCCTGCGGGGGCGCCTCGGGACACACTGAATGAGAGCACTGAAGTGCCAGGCGCTAGGCTAGACTCTGGGCGGACAGAAACGACAGTACATGCTCGGTACCTGGCCGCTGGGAGCCGGCCACGTTATAGGCATTCTCTTACTTCTTCTCCCAGCAATTCTATGAATAGGCACTATTAAGCTACTTTTAGAGATGAAGTGTGAGCCCAGCTCGGAGTTATGGAGCTGTTTAAAGGCAGAGGCAGGAAATCATTGCCCCCTGCACCTGCTCAGCCCCACCTGCCTCACTTCCTGGCCAGAGGGGCTTAGTGACAACTCCCGCCCCCAAACCTGGATGGGTGGTCACAAACCGGGGAGCCCTGGTGTCAGTGCCAGCCGACGAGGAGAAACTGCCGCTCCTGTCTATTGGCCGGGCTAGACCAAACCTCCAGGGTTCCTGACGTTCCCTGGCAGCCAGCCAGGGGCCAAGCAGCACAACATGGGGCAGTGCAGGGGGTGCGTGCCCAGAGAGAGCAAGAGAGGGGAATAACCCAGCCAATGAATCACTCGGCCCATGCCCTGCGTACTCCAGGACCATCCAAAATACAGTGAGTCTGTGTTAGTCTGCTCGGTCTGCCATAACAAAACACCAGAGTCTGAGGGCCAAAACAACAGAGATTGACCTTCTCACAGTTCTGGAGGCTGCGAGTCTGAGATCGAGGGGCCAGCATGGTTGGTCTCTGGTGGAAGCTCTCTTGCCAGCTTGTAGACAACAGCCTTCTGGCTGTGTCCTCACATGGCAGAGAGAGAGGCAGTATTCAGGTGTCTTTTCTTACAAGGGCACCAATCCCATCCTGGGGCCCCACCATCATAATCCCATCTAAACCTAACTACCTCCCAAGGGAATGACCTCCCAATTCCATCACCTTGGGGGTTAGGGCTTCAATATGTGAACTCAGGGGACACACTTCGGTCCATAGCAGAGTCCACCTGACTTCCCTAGCCCCTTGTATTCACTCCCTCCTCCTCTGCCTTATTTCTCCTCCCATTCCCTCTTGCTTCCTGGGAACTGTACCCTTTTCACAAAGCTTTGCCTCAGGTTCTCTTGGTAGGAAACCTGGCTAAGATAGCCGTCGATCCCGGTAGGGTGACAGGTGGAAGACAAAACTGTACAGGGTGCAGAAGTAACGTAAGCAAGGCAGGGATTTCCCTGGTGGGGAGGTAGGTGAAGCAGGTAAGCCTCACAAAGAAAGGAAGGAAGAGTAGGACTGGGTCTTGAAGGAAGAATTCACTCATTCAGTGATGACTATTAAACACCTTCCTGCCAGGACTCTTCTCAGTGCTGGGAATACAGCGGTGAACAAAAGGGACAAAACCCTTCCCTTCATGGAACCTACATTCATGTGGATGGAGCCAAATGACAGACGGACGGATGGATGGACGGACGGATGGATGGTAGATGGACAGGTGGATGGATGGATGGATGGACAGGTGATATGACAGATGGAGAGAAATAAAGCTGGGAAGAATAAGGAGGGCTGGGAAGGAAGTTTTAATATTTGGAAGGAGGTGAGAGAGAGGTGACCGGAAGTTCACCACGTAGAGGGCGAGAAGGTGAGTGAGGGGTTTCCACATTCCCGGCAGAGGTCACGGCAGGTGTAAACACATAAATGAGCACACCGTGCTCTGGGCATGCAGGGCATTCAGCAGGCTGGAGGGCATCAAGAAGGGGCCCCGCGAGGAAGCTGCTCTTCAGGGCCTCAAACACCAAAGCAAAGAGTTGGAACTTTTCCAGTATTTTTCCCTATCTTTCCCTTCCTCTCTCTTCCTTCTCTCTCCCCCCTCTCCTCCTCCCCTGTGCCCTCCCCCTCATTCCTCCCCTCCTTTCTCCCTCTTTCATCCAACACACATTTCCTGAATGCCTGCCACGTGTGGGCGACTGAGCCAGGTACAGGGATACAGAGTCCAGTACGACCTTGCTCGTCGACCTGTACCGCGAGACGATGAGCCAGGGTGAAAAGTACAATGACAAGCGGCGTGCACTCTGGGAGCATGGGAGAGGCTCCCAGGAAGGGGTTATGCCCAGAGCAGCGTTTGAAAGACAAGTGGGAGTTAGACCATGTGGACAGGGCCCTCCTGAGTGGGGGCAGGAAGCAGGGTGCTGGGTGCAGCTGCAGGAGGGGCTCTGGGCGAGGACAGGCAGGGGTGTCGGGGTGCAGCTGGGGCGGGAGCAGCTGTGCTGTAGCCCAGGTGTAGGCTGTGATCATTGCCCCATTTTACAGATGAGGAAACAGAGGCCCGGAGCAATGAAGTAACACAGTTACATGGTGACTGGCAGAGTTGAGGCTCAAGCCGGGGTGCCTGACCCTGGGCTCTACTCTTAGCAGGCATCCCGCGTGACTGCCCAGGGAAGCCTGGTAGGAGGCTTGGTCATCGTCCAGGCAGGAGTGCAGAAGCCAGACCCAGGAACGGGGCCAGGAGGGCAGCCCTGGGGACTGGGATGTGTCTCCCTGCTCTGTCTTCAGAATATTTTGTCTTGGTGTTCCTGTCTTAAGAAGCTCCGTTCATGCAGCCTCTACCCGGGATGCTCCTCTCATCTTCAGTCTCCAGATCTGCTTCGTCCCCCCCAGTGGGGCTAGGTTCCCTCCACCTTCTAGAAGCTTCTCTCATTACCACCATCCAAGCTGAGGGTGAAAGGCAAAGGGCCAGGGAAAGGACGTGGCATCAGAGGGCTGGCAGAGTATCTAATCTCTCTAGCCCTAGGTCCTCATCAGAGTCAGGAAAGAAAAACATCATATACATTCATGGGGCTGCCGTGAAGACAAAATGAGGTAATTTAGCTGGCTGTGCTTCCGAATGAGGAAAGCTCCATGCTTTCTTGCACTTAACGCCTGCATCACACATTCTCCTTCACACTCTCGCCTTCTGGAGGGTTTGCGGCGTACTGGAAATAGCACGGATTCTGAGTTTAGACAGAGGTGGGCTTGACCTCAGGGCTGCTCTTACCGCCTCTGGGATCTGGGGCGAATCACTACTCGGTGCCCCAGTTTCCTCATCTGTAAACCCCTGCGTGGGAGAATTGTGTGATTCGCTGTGATGAGGGTAAGTGGTGAGGCTCGCTAACCACTCAGACCGCCCTGGGGAGCTGGGGGAGGGAGGGAAAGGGGGCACAAAGCATGATCTGAAGGACCTGTGCCTTCTTGGCGGCACAAAGCAGGCTCTTACCTGTACGCCCGAGAGGGGCTCTCCTACATTCTGCTTCTCCAGCCGATGCTCTCCTGCCTCAGCCCCTGTCTTCCCGTGTGTCCGAGCCCCAGACTGTCAGCTGGAGCCGATCACCCGTGGGGTGGCCCCCCTGCAAGAGTCACCAAGGCTCCAGTCGACTCTGTGCATGGCCCATTGGGTGCTCGGGAACACCCTGGGGTCCTCGGAGCTGCCCCTCAGGATGGGCTGATACTGCTTGCGACCCCCTGCTGCAGCCTCCTCAGCTCTTCGGCCAGGCTGCCTGAGAACAGCTCTAGGTGACTCAGAGGGCCCCAGAAGTCCTCTTTTCTGGAACCGAGGTGAAGGAAATAGCACAGCACGTTAGCAGCTGTCCACAGAGAAAGCTCTCCACGAACACCCCCTCAGAACCCACCCTTTCCGACCCTCCGAGTAGTTTTCTGTGGCTGCATAACAAGTGACCACCCGTGCAAGAGCTCAGTGCCACACAGACGTGTTATGTCACAGCTGTCGTAGGCTCCAAGCCCAGCAGGGCTCACCCAGCTTCTCTGCTTCCAGTCCCAAGAGGCCAGAGTCAAGGTGTAGGCAGGCTGGTCTCTTGTCTGGAGTCTCTGGGGGAAGAAATCACTTCCAGGCTGGTCTTTGGCAGAATTCAGTTCCTTGAAGACTGTAGCACCAAGGAAGGCCCTGTCGCCTTGCTGACTATCGGCCATGGCCATTCTCTCAACTCCTCAAGGCACCCACATTCCTTCCCACGCAGCACCCCCATCTTCAGCAATGATGAGTCAACCTCCCCTACTGTGTGGAGCCTTTGCTCTTCTCTTCTGCTTACCAGCTGGAGAAAACCCAGTGGTCACATTAGGCCCACCTTAGGAATCTGCCGTTCGAAGGTCAACTGCGCCATATGATATGTGACATAACATAATCATGGGAGCCATATCTCATCATACTCATAGGTCCCAGGGATTCAACTATGGGGGCATTTTTAGAATTCACACCTTCTAAGCAGAACTGATATTTCAGTGGTTTGCATCAGTGCAGCTGTGCTGGTTGTTCAAATTTTGAAATATGTCCGTGCCAGCGAGTAAAAAGCTGCTCCCCCAAGATGCCTTCCCTTGCGGGTACCTGGGTCCCTCCCCCTGGAGTCCCCAGCATCTGGACTTCCTTATGACTCAGCAAGTAAAGGGTTAGCCCTGAGCCGCCCAGGGGAGTCCCAAGCCCTGCACAGCACTTCCATTCTGTAGGTTAGTGCCTCAAGGCTGTTAAATATCTTGAATAACACCTTGACCTCCAAGTGTAGGAGTTAGGAAACCAGTTCTAGAACATTGAAATTTTGCCCCCTAGTGGTGGTCATATCGCTATGGTATTTGATATTGATTGTCCCGGTATCTTTTTCAAAACTGCCATTTTAATATCATGTTACACTGGTTAAATCTTCTTGTCCAGTTTAATCCTTGCAGCTACTCAGTGTGATCATTTTTCTTCCCCCTGCTGGAGAGCTTGGAAAATGGAGATTCAAAGACAGTCCATAACTTACCCAAAGACACAGCTGGAAAGTAGCAAAATTGGCCAGTTTCTAGCACCCATCATCTCTATGTGCGTGTCCCTCGGGCCCTTCAAACTCAACCTGCCTAAAACCCAACACAAACTCCCTCTTAAACCCAATCCTTCCCCAGTGACCCCGTCTCAGGAAGTGGCACCATTGTCTATTGGGTTGGAAAAGCCTGAAATCTAGAAGTTGTCACTGTGATCTCCCTCTGCTGTCCCTCCCCACAGCCATCACCAAGCCCTGCTGATTTCGCTTCCTCTGTATATCTGCAGTCAACAGACTTTTTTCCCACCATCTCCCTAGCACCAGCTGCCACCATCTGTCACCCGGTCCTACAACAGCCTCCTCACAGGTCTCCCTCAAGCCACTTGTGCCCATTCTGAGTCATTAGGTGGCACCAGGTGTTCTTAAAATAAAGCATGTGATGCCAACCCTCTGCCTGCAGACCGTCACTCATTTCCCGTTGCTCCTAGACAGACCTGGCCCAGGAGACCCCAGGTGATCCCCTACCAACCTCGCCAGACTCGGCTTGCCCCTCCTTCCCCTTTCTCTCCACATCCTGGCCACACAGATCTCTTCCAGTGCCTCTAATGGATCAGATCCCTGCCCACCTCAGGACCTGTGTACGGACTTGTGCCAATCTGCTCAGGCTGCCTAACAAAATGCACAGACGGGCTTCACAAACAGAAATGTACCCTCTCACGGTTCCGGAGGCTGGAAGGCTAGTCTCAAGGTGGCAGCAGGGTTAGTCTCTGGTGAAGCCTCTCTCCTTGGCTTGTAGGTGGCCACCTCCTCTCTCTGCCCTCACATGGCCTTTCCTCTGTTCTCCCAGGCAGAGAGACAGATCTCTAGTGTCTGCTCCTCTTCTTGTAACCCAGTCCTGCCGGATTAGGGCCCCAACACCAGGACTTCATTTAGCCCTAATTAAGTCTTTAAAGGCCCCATGGCCACACTGGGGGTGAACGTTCCAACATATGAATTTGGGAGACACAAGCCGGTCCATACCAGCGCTGTTCTCTCCATTCTTACTCATTCTTCAGAACCCAGCTCAGAAGTTACTTCCCCAGGGAAGTGTTTCCTGCAAGCCCCCCAACTAGACATGATCCCCCTATTATTTTGCTTTGATGGCTCGGTGTACATGTTCTTCAACACATTTATCTTGGTTTGAGATCATGTACTTACGTGATTCTTTGGTTAAGCTCTGTCTCTGCCTGCAGAGTTTCAGCTCCCTGAGGGTGGGGACCAGCTCTGTTTTGCTCTCCCTGAGTCCCCAGTCCGAGGACAGTCCCTGGAACAAAGCAAGCACAGCTTGGGCTGCCTGGACTATTTAGTCCATACTATTGTGCACTCTCCCCAACCTGGAAAATGGGCCATCTTCAAAATCCCAAAAGACATAGTATAAACCATGCACTTATCCACAAGGAGGGAGTCGTAAGCTATCGAGAGCATGGTGGATTGTGGTTTTGCTTGGAATTGCATCCCAGTGTGGGTGTACTGGCGAGCTCCCGATGACTAGCACTTGAGTGTGTCTTTTATTAGTGAGATGGGAAGTGATTAAATCACTTTACTATGATTAAATCAACTCAGACCGATTTTACGCCAAATCTTTTCAGGCTTTAGCCCTTGGGACGGAAAATCACACAAGCTCTCCCTGTGAGGCCACAAGGTGGCAGCACAAGGTAGCAAGGGGCAGCACGTACCAGGCGTCCCCTCCCTCCTCCCCGGAGAGGAGCAGGCGGGGACCCTGGTCTGGCGCCACAGGGACCTTAAACCGGAAGTCTGGGCTCTGCCACCACTGGCTTTATCCCGGACTCCAGGAGACAGACACTCAGCTGCTTCATAACCCCGTGTGTCCAGCCCTAAAACTGAAGTCACTTAAATAAGCATTAAGACAAGTGTTCACTCCTTCTTCCCTCACCACTTGTTATTCCTTCTTCTTTGAGCGGATATCCAGAGCCTCCTAGGCCTGGCTGGGCCTCGGGGGGCCCGGCGAATAGCCTGCTCTCTCTACACAGTGGGAGAAGCGCTCACTCACATGGCTCAGGGGCAAAGGGCAAGAGGCCCAGAGTAGCGGAGAAGGAGCGCAGGGGCATACCAGGGGACTTGGCAGAGGGCAGGAGGGCTGTTTTGTTTCTTAAATTCCACATATGAGTGAGATCGTATGATAATTGTCTCTCTCTGATCGACTTACTTCGCTTAGCGTAACACCCTCTAGTTCCATCCACGTCATTGCAAATGGCAGGATTTTATTCTTTTTGATGGCTGAGTAATATTCCACTGTATATACATAAACACACACACACACACACACACA